CTGTTCCTTTTTTTGAACTATGAAGCGGAAACAACCGAACTTCTAAGACAAAGTGGCTCAAATAATGAGATAATTGTATGCAAAGTTCCATTTTGAACAAATGTATACTTTGCGAGTTATGCTCCTCGCCAAAAATGTCAATAATGAGTAATATAACCCATATGTGCCACGCCCATCTTAATTTATTTTGCATAGGGTAATTGATATTCCAAATGTTATGTTGTGTTTTAAATTTCAAGCTTCTACATTATTCAGGTCAAAAGATATAGGTCAACAAATGTCAACAAAGGTCAAAATCGAAAAATGAAAATATCCAAATGTTAAAACCCGTTCCTTTTTTGGAACTATAAAGCTGAAACAACTGAGCTGTTAACACAAACTGGCCAAAAAATGAGGTAATTGTGTGCGAAGTCCCTTTTTTAACAAACGTATCCTATGCGAGTTATGCCCCAGCCCCAAAATGTAAACAATTAGTAATTCAACACGGATGTGCCACGCCCACACCAAATTTATGCAGATTTAGTTTATCCCTAAGGACTTATTTCGATTTTAAGAAAATTAGAAAATCAAGATGGCGGCCAAAGTATCACTTCCAGTCTGGATTTTATATTCTTCGTTTTTTTGTATTAGCATTTACTGACGACCTGCATAAATTCCGTTGACCTATTTCATTTACACCGGAAGTTATTCGACCGGAAGTAGATTGTACTTTCAATTCATTCCACCTTCAAAACCGGAAGTAACGTCAAAACTCTGACTGTATCATATCATTGACTTTATTGATGTCTCTTTGCCTTCATTTCTCCGGTGTCGATTTTATTAATTTGCTTAATCCCTCTTTAACGGTTTTCTTGGTTTCTTCGCCAAATCTTTGTCCGAATTCTTTAACCGTCCCTAATATATCTCCTACTCCCGAACCTTCTCTTCTCTTGCCATATTGTGTCTACGTGCTTCGGCGTTTGCAGCGGCTTCAGCTTTCTTATCGTTGACAGCTTTGGCTATCCCAGCAGCTCCACCAGCAGTTGCACCGGCTGCAGCTAAACCAGCAAAGATTAACGGTAAGAAAGGTAAAAATCCACCTTTTTTAGTTAAATTCTCATCAATTCTTTCCAAGTCTATATCGTCTCTGACTTTGCAATGTTTGTATTTATCGATAATCTTTTGGGTTATATGCACTTTTTTACCGTTGTAAGTTATTAGAGTTGGCGAATTCGTTTCCATAGCTTCTATCATTTTTAAAGGGTGTTTTTTTATTCAATTCTTATCATTCTTCTATCTGATATTTTAATCAAATGTTTTGCTTCTTCCAGCAATAAACAATAGCCGGTCACATCTCCTTGTGTTTTATCGATGTGAATATTTATGTTTACCCCTGTTTTGAAAAGATCTTATTGATGAGCTGACAGATCGAAACAAAAGATTGGAGATTGAGTGAAAAATCTGTGTATTCAAACTGAGGCGTATTTCCAAACAATTCGCACATGTTTTTATAGTTTCTGTACAATTCGTTGTAATCTTTTTTGGAAAGATCAATTGACAAAGGTTGATTGGGATAATTATCGTTGTTCAATCTGACTTGAACTTTACGAATGATGGGATCTTGAGTATGGTTCAATGCCAATCTGAAAATGTTGTTGTTGTTTGTCTGAGAGTCTGGCAAGTTTTTGAAACCGACCATTAGATATCTCGCTGGTTTGACGGTGTTGGTGATTGGCCACGTGGTGGATTCTCCCGTTAAAGTCATGCTACCTACCGTGTTACGACGAAGAAAAGCAATTTCGATGTCTTTGGTTAAAGAGTTGAATATTCTCGTTTCCACTTCTACGGAAGGAGTGATTACCGGTATGTAAAGTTGGATATTCTTATTTCCAATTTTGCGTCAGAGTTGTTTTCACCAAAGAATATCTTGTTGTCGTTGATTTCTCTTTGTAAATGAATTTTATACGGTAAATCTATGGAAACCTTTCTGTGTTCCAAGAG